AGGAGGAGGAGGAGAAGAAGAAGAAGAAGAAGAAGAAGAAGAAGAAGAAGAAGAAGAAGAAGAAGAAGAAGAAGAAGAAGAAGAAGAAGAAGGTGGTCCAATTTGTGTTGTCTATATACTCACTGAAGCATGGTCAAACTCTCAGTGGCCATCCCCTTAAAGAAAACTGAGTCCTTCCCCACCTGCACCCCACCAGAAGTCATCAATTATGGAAAGCTACACTTCAATATCCTTATCACAATTTGTAAAAGTTCTCTTTGATGGCTTTCTGTCTAGGATGTTTTTATTCTTTTTTCTTTTTCTTTTTTTTTTTTTTAGTTGGGAGGTAGAGGTTGTCATAGAAAGGCTTTCCACGTCTCTCTTTCTCAACTGTGAGTCTACAGTCATCTATACCACTGCAGAAGTAGATTCCTTGCCCTTTACACTCAGCAGGAACATGGATCATGTTCTTCCACATGGTTTCTGGTATTTATGGACATTTCTGTTTATTATATCTGTTTGACTCCTTAGATGGGACAGTTTCCAAACAAGTCAACATATACCTGGAGGGTTCTTAAGACTGGTTTTTGATTTGCAGAACACAGATGCTATTCTTTTTAAAGCACTGCTACCTATTTGTATCTAAAGTTAAAGATCCTACATCTTCCTTAAATTATTCTGTTTAGTGATCCTGAAATTTCAAAAGCCTGAAAAAAGAGACACAGATCAATTAATCTGAAAAGTCATGATGGGAATTTTTCTCATCATTAGATTTGTGACTGCAAACAGATGGTCAAAAAGCATGAGAACAGCTTCATCATTCTGTGTATTCCAAAGCACGTGCAATCTTCAACCAGAGCTGGATCCTGAGTCGTATTTTTAGAAAATATTTGAGTACTTTGACTGTTACCATTCCCATTTCCATTTTTGTTTCCTCATTAATGTGTCAGTACATTTTGATGTATGGGGCATTGCATACCAAAATTGATGTTAAACTCAAGGCACTGCTTACATAAAGTCAAAACAGATAATTAGAAATAACCACATGATTGACTGTTCACATATTTTTCATTCAGAATCTTGGCCTCAAGTAAATGTAACGCAAAATATGAACTTTAGACAGATGATGCCTTTTTCTCTTTCTTATATTAAACACCAGAGCCTGTCTGATGGACTGCTCTTCTCACAGTTCACTTTTTTTTAATACTATGGATCCAATACTGTTAATGATGAACATCTATTCTCTTTATGATGCAATAATCTCCTAGCTGGAAGAACATTGCATGCATTAAAATTATATTCCCATCTGGAATGCATATAATTCCTAGGAGCAGTCTCAGGGTTTAAGTTTTGGTATTCCTTGTGAGTCTCAGTATACTGCTCCCCATCATTCCCTGGGGCAGTATGCTGGATGGCTTTCACCTTGATAGTCACAAAACAACAATAAACACTCATTGAACAAACTGTGGGAATGTTCACTTAGTTCAAGCTGATAATGCAAAGGCTTTCTTCCTTTCACAGGTATTTCTTCCTTCTGACAACAATGATGAGAAAGAATGATCATTTTAGAGTACTTTGGCAACAGTACTCTGTCTTGTAAGCAAATTTTAGGAGATTAGAAATACACTAACATGCATTATTACTTTACATATTAAAACATATACCTTTAATAGTATAAATACTATATTTTTCAAATTTTCTTTTATTAAAAATAGATCCCCCCTTTGCCGGGCGGTCGTGGCGCACGCCTTTAATCCCAGCACTTGGGAGGCAGAGCCAGGCGGATCTCTGTGAGTTCGAGGCCAGCCTGGGCTACCAAAT